TTTTTTTGGAGATTTGTGACAATTTAGAAAAACTTGCTAATGAACTGTGTAGCCCAGAAGTATCAAAACATGTGATTAAAAGGTCATGAATTCTCAAGATACATGTAGTCAATGATCTATTTTATCATTTACTACCATAAAATATACATAAGTCTATGATTTAAAAAAGTTAAAAGTGGTTGGGCACGGTGGCTCACACCTGTAATCCCAGCACTTTAGGAGGCCAAGGTGGGTGGGTCACCTTAAGTCAGGAGTTTGAGACCAGCCTGGCCAATATGGTGAAACCTCATCTCTGCTAAAAATACAAAAACCAGCCAGGTGCGGTGGTGGGCACCTGAAGTCCGAGTTACTCAGGAGGCTGAGACAGGAGAATTGCTTGAACTGGGGAGGCAGAGGTTACAGTGAACTGAGATCACATCACTGCATTCCAGCCTGAGTGACAGAGTAAGACTGTATCTCAAACAACAACAACAACAACAACAACAAAACAAACCCCAGACCGTGCATGGTTCTATTCATAGTTGAGAGAAATTGCTATAAGACATGCAACCTTAAGCCTTAAAAAATAGGGCCAATTTTCTTCCAAAGTGTCACCAGTGTCACCAGCCATATATGAGAGTTTCAGTTGCTTTACATTCTTGTCAATACTTGATTTTTTAAAATTATTTTTTATTTTCTTTCTTTCTTTTTTTTTAACTATAGTCCTGTGCGCTCATGATCTTTATTTTTTTTTAAATATAGAACACTTTGGCCGGGCGCGGTGGCTCACGCCTGTAATCCCAGCACTTTGGGAGGCCGAGACGGGTGGATCACGAGGCCAAGAGATTGAGAACATCCTGGTCAACATGGTGAAACCCCGTCTCTACTAAAAATACAGAAATTAGCTGGGCATGGTGGCGCGTGCCTGTAATCCCAGCTACTCAGGAGGCTGAGGCAGGAGAATTGCCTGAACCCAGGAGGTGGAGGTTGCGGTGAGCCGAGATCGCGCCATTGCACTCCAGCCTGGGTAACAAGAGCGAAACTCTGTCTTAAAATATATATATATGTATATACATAGAACACTTCATAAATATGTGTGTCATCCTTGAACAGGGACCATGCTAATCTCTGTATCCTTTCAATTTTAGTATATATGCTGTTGAAATGAGAATAATACTTGGTCTTAATCAAATTTTCTAATGTAGCCATATTGGTGGGGGAGTAGTTGTATCCATTGCTGTTTTGATTTGCATTCCCCTGATTATTATTCTTGTTTGGCACCTTTTCAGTGTTTATTTTCATTGGACTTTCTTTTGGTAAATTGACTGTGTCTTTTGCCCATTTTTTTCTATTGGAAAATTAGTAGTCTTATTTTTCCTAAAGACTACTCTTGAGTAGTCTTTTTTCTTATTAATCTATGTAAGTTCTTATTGTCCTATTTGAGTTACAAGTTCCTCTCAGTTATATGCATTACAATACCTTCAACCACCCTGTGGGCTGTCTTTTCTATAACGTATTGTGAGAAAATGGCTGAATGACAGCAAACCTTGAAATTATTTGATCCTTTTCTTAAGAAAGAGTGAACAATTCTTGAAGAAAACTATTAAGACATTCAAACATTACTTTTTATATTTTTCTGGCAATGTAAGACCAGTGCTTTTGTCATGTGTCCTGTTATTCTTTAAAAAATGTTTTTTTTCCCCTAATTTGTTTTATATTCCCTTACATTTTTTTGTTCTAGTTGCATGGTTAATGGCCTTCTCCACACTTTCTATGTGGTTATCTTCAAGGGACAATTTTACAGTTTAGAATTTCACTGTACATTGTTGGAGACTGATTCTGGCTGTTTGCAAATATTTTTGTGTATGATTTAACCTCTAGTTTACAGCAGAAAACAAGATAACTCAGAAAAGAAAAACCATATATTTTCTTTTGACTGCACAAAACTTCAAAGGTTGAGATTTGCTTTTAAAACTTTCTCTTTATTGCAGCTGTGTTCCATCCTGTATTCCCAACACTTTGGGAGGCTGAGGCAAGTGGACTGCTTGAGGTCAGGAGTTCAAGACCAGACTGGGAAACATGGCAAAAACCCATCTCTACCAAAAATACAAAAAATGATCCAAGTGTGGTGGTGCATACCTGTGGTCCCAGCTACTCAGGAGGCTGAGATAAGAGCATAACCTGAGTTGGGGAGCCGGAGGTTACAGTGAGCTGAGATGGCACCACTATACCCCCACCTGGCTGTGGTTGACAGAGTGAGACCTGTCTCAAAAAATAAAACAAAATTTATCTTTATTGCATACACAGTGTGTTAGTCCATTTTCACACTGCTAATAAAGACATACCCAGGACTAGGTAATTTATAAAGAAAAGGAGGGTTATTTTTGTTTTGTTTTGTTTTGTTTTCTGAGACAGGGTCTCATTCTGTCATCCAGGCTGGAATGCAGTGGCACAATCTCAGCTCACTATAACCTCCGCCTCCCAGGTTTAAGCAATTCTCTTGCCTCAGCCTCCCAAGTGGCTGAGATTACAGGCATGTGCCACCACGCCTGGCTAAGGTTAGTATATTTTTTTAGTAGAAATGGCGTTGTACCATGTTGGCCAGGCTGGTCTCGAACTCCTGACCTCAAGTGATCTGCCCGCCTCGGCTTTCCTAATTGCTGGGATTACAGGCATGAGCCCCTGCCCAGAAAAGAAAAGGAGGTTTAATGAACTCACAGTTCCACGTGGCTGGGGAGGCCTCACAATCATGGCGGAAGGCAAAAGGCATGTCTTACATGGCAGCAGACAAGAGAGAGAACTTGTGCAGGGGACCTCCCATTTATAAAACCATCAGATCTTGTGAGACTTATTCACTGCCATGAGAACAGCATGGGAAAGAATCCATCTCCATGATTCAATTACCTCCCACGGGGTCCCTCCCATGACACATGGGAATTGTGGGGAGCTACAATTCAAGATGAAATTTGGATGGAGACACAGCCAAAACATATCATGTAACTTTATAATAAGCACTCCATCTTGTCCTTTTTCTATTACACCTACATTATGCAGCAGTTTCTATTAATGAGACAGCAAAGAATGAACAATTGCTTCCAGTTTCCAAAAATGTTACATGTGGAGAAAAAATGCTTCTGAAATAGTAAACTCTACAAATGATCAGATTTTTTTTTAGGGGGTAGTACTTTTAACTAATAAAGTTTACAACTGTGAACAAAAGCTTGATTGGCCTTTGGTCAGTATTATTATTGTATTAAAATCTTCAATAAATTAAACATCAAAAAAAATATCTACAGTCCTACATCCCTTTATTGCCTGCACCTTGGGCAGATTACTCTCACTGCTTCACTCTTGATATGTCTCTGCTGGCAAATATGGAATTTTCGGTAAACTTCTGGCAAATACTTTGTCACCTAAGAAAGTTCCCTGCTGTTCCTAAGGGATTACTACTCACCCAGTATATGGTTAGCTCTAACTACATAGCATCATGAAGAGTGAAGGATATATTTGGAAAAGAATATAGTGTGTCTAACAATCTATAAATTCTAAACTTGAGAAAATTTTATTCTTATGGCAAAGAAGCTGGAAAAGATGTTTTCCTGAAATCCATGCAGCCGTCAGTATTCAGCATTCATCTAAAACTAAAAGACAATCCTGAAAGCACTTGAAGACATGGAAAGGAGATGAACTTATGCCCTGGTTTTACAAGCAGGATGATAATTAATGACGACCCTGTATGTTTGTTCGAAATTCTTTCAGAAGAGGCTCATGAAAGGTGTACTAGAACAAGGACGGCAAGCTGATCCTACTATTACCTGGATGTTTCCTTTAACAGGTATATTCCTTTAGCAGAACATTCTTGAATTCCACCAATAACTGAGAACAACAGAAAAGAAGATTCACAATATGCTTTCCCTGAAAATAGATTTATCCTACTCTTTTCAAATTTTACTTTCAGAATCATGTAGGTTGACAGACATAAAAAGGTAAAATCTTTATTTTCAATGTATTAAACAATTTAACACTTCTTACTAGAGTATGATATACAGTGTATCAGGAAAGAGTATGACATATATACACTAATAATAAATTATACTAAAAAGTCATTGATTCAGTTCCTGCTTTGTAATATTTTAATGTTTACCAACTTGGAAAATGTCCAACAAAATTATAAAGTTTGGGGGTTTTTTTTGTACTAATACACCATTTATTTGATGAATTAATCAATGTTCAAATGGAAGAGGTTTTGACAATGTCACTATGTTGGATGTTTATACCTGCCCTGAATGCTTGCTCAGAAGAGAAACACATTTCCCAGTATTTTTTATAACTTACTTTCTCATTGCCTCCAATTAATTTGCTATTATCTCAAGTAGACAGACACCTTCAGTACCAGCCACCTCCCCTCATTTTTAGATTACTGAAAAAAAAATAGATGAGTAATCCATGAAAATAATCAGCTTACCAAAATGCCTGTTTTTTAAAAGAAAAGTTGGGATTGTTTAAAAAAAAAAAATGGCCCAGGACTAGTAGCTAGGAGATCTGGGAGACAGAAGTCGTTGTCCTGGTTCTGACGCTAAGTAACCCTTTTACCTTGTACAGGTAACTTCTCATCTACATCCTCAGCATCCTCCTCTGTAAACTGAAGGGTTTAAATGACTCTAAGTTCCTCTTTCTCTCTCTCTAGTCTAGATGTTCTCTAACATCAACTTTATGTGGGTTTTTTCGGCCTTTGCCCAGATTTTAACCAGAGAACATCCTCCCTGAAAGTCAGACAAAGGTAATTAATTCTGAGACGGCAGGAGTTGTTTTTGGCATGTGTAATCAACTTTTCATAAAACCAAGAGTTCTCAAGTTAAGCTACCTTCACGACCCTCGTATTAAGTTTAATTACCACTCCCTGACCCTCCTACCTTCCTATGTTGCTCCACCACCTCTCCCCACCAGAAAAAAAAAAAAAAAAAGATGAGAAAAATCTCTTGTGTTTTCTTCCTTCTTGGTTCTTGGAAAATTGTGTGCAGTCACTTCCTCTTCTTCTGTGGCAGCATCATGTCACCCCATTTCCAGTGGTTGAGCTTCTCTCTGAGTAGGTAGATGCTGGTGATGAAGATGTAGCTGAGAGAGAAGAAAGCTGCTAGCCCCACAGGGCTGAGTTTAGCAAGCAGAGGATACACCCAGGTACCCGTCTCAAAGTAGATCCATAGGATCCTGCTGACATAAGCAATGCTGCCAGCAGCCAGCAAGGCGAGTCCTGTCTTCTTTGACGGATAGGAGTGCGGCCTGAGGATGACTTCAGTCAACGTGATGGGCAATATGAAAGTGTGCACTGCATGATTCAGCCACGCTGGGAGAAGAGTATCTAGGGCCTTGGGGTAAATAAGATCTCGATTGTAGAGAAAAAGGATCCAGAATGCCAAAAATACAAATGTGGATATAGGAAAAGCCAGTGTGGCGAAAAGCAGGTCTCTGAAGGCAGTTAGGAACGTCATGTCTTTTCTCCCTCTGATCTTTTCAGCACATCACCCAGGCAGGCAACCTCGTAGAAAATGGTCTGCAAAAGCATATTAAGCAGCGTCATGTATTTCCACTTGCCACCATTTGCAAAGATTTTGGATTTCACTTCATCTGTTTCATCCTGTGTGATGTAATAATTGAGGAAAATATACCAGCTCAGAACAAGCAAGTGGTATATGCATGTAAAAGTCTTCGTCATGGCTAGCGCTGACCGGGGCACTGTGGATTTCCTGAGTGGCTTCTGGCGTCCTTCTGTGGGTCACAGCTGAAGTCCTACAGCAGGCTGGAGAGCTGTAAACCACACCCCTCTGGGACTGAGAGTTCCCTGGTTTATTTTTCTTATTGACTGGTTATGGTAGCCAGCCTTCAAGATGGCTCCAGTGATTCTTACTTCTTGGTATTCACATCCCTGTATGGTACTTTGCGGTATTAGTCATATAGGAGTAGTTTATATAACCAAAAGAATACAGTAGATATACTGGTGTGTGACTTCTGAGGACAAGTCATAAAAGACATCACTCATTCTGCCTTCCTTTCCTGGATCACTTGCTCTGGGGGTAACGAGTCCCATATTGTAGAGATACTTAACTAACCCTGTGAAGATGTCCACATGGCAATAAACTGAGGCATCCTGCCAATTGTCAGGGCCTATTATCTCCCAGGAGAAGACACACTTTCATCATTAACATTGGCTCATAGTAGTAGAAGGGGTGGGGAGTGGGGAGATGAATCTGAATTCCTGAGATTTATTCCAGAAAAGTAAAACAGAATTTCTTAACATTCAGATACACTTCCTTGGGGAATATAAGCATTTCCTCCTCATTCTCTGGGAATCAGTAATGTGGAATATCAGCATATAGCTGAAAAACAGATTTTCTCTCTAAAATCCAGTTTCATTATAGATATTTCTGACAGTGTGAGTACACCTACTGTTGGCAGTGTAAGGCTTGCCTTTAAAATTGGACTTCTTTGAGGAAAAAAAGAAAGGGAGGATTATATCCCTTTCAAAAGAAGAAAATAAATAGGTCTGTTACATACTTTTATATTGGAAGAGAAGCCATTGAGATAAATGCTACAGTATATACAAACACACTGCGTTTGCTCATTGCTTCTTTCTAGCCCTTGGCTTGAGGGATAGAAAAACTTTTTATTTACTTTGTAAGGACTCTGTGAGTATTTAAATGATTATGGCCTAAAGTTAAACATCTCTTATTGTCCATTGTCCGGTTAGCATTGGAGCTCCCATCTGTGGCTGGGACCTGTGTTTGCTGGAATCCTCTTCCGCTTGTGATTCCAGATTAGAGTCTGCCATCCTGGGCTGGTGCTACCTTGTTCCTATTGATTACAAAGAGTTCCTCAAGCTAAAACTGGTGAATTGACTTTGAAAGTTGCTTTTTTTAAAAAAATATATTATACTTTAAGTTCTGGGATGCATGTGCAGAATGTGTAGGTTTATTATGTAGGTATACACGTGCCATGGTGGTTTGCTCCACCCATCAACCAGTCATTTACATTAGGTCTTTCTCCTAATGCTATCCTTCCCCTATCCGTGGTGTATGATGTTCCCCTCCTTGTGTCCATGTGTTCTCATTGTTCACCTCCCACTTACGAGTGAGAACATGTGGTGTTTGGTTTTCTCTTCCTGTGTTAAGTTTGCTGAGAATGATGGTTGCCAGCTTCATCCATGTCCCTACAAAGGACATGAACGCATCCTTTTTTTTTGAGATGGAGTTTTGCTCTTGTTACCTAGGCTGGAGTGCAATGGCGTGATCTTGGCTCACTGCAACTTCTGCCTCCTGGGTTCAAGCAATTCTCCTGCCTTAGCCTCCCGAGTAGCTGGGACTATAGGCGTGTACCACCATGCCCAGCTAATTTTTGTATTTTTAGCAGAGACGGGGTTTCACCTTCTTGATCAGGATGGTTTTGATCTCTTGACCTTGTGATCCACCCGCCTCGGCCTCCCAAAGTGCTGAGATTTTAGGCGTGAGCCACCATGACTGGCCATGAACTCATCCTTTTTTATGGCTGGATAGTATTTCATGGTGTGTATGTGTCACATTTTCTTTATCCAGTCTATCATTGATGGGCATTTGGGTTGGTTCCAAGTCTTTGCTATTGTGAATAGTGCTGCAATAAACATACATCTGTGTATGTCTTTATAGCAGAATGATTTAAAATCCTTTGAGTATATACCCAGTAATGGAATTGCTGGGTCAAATTTCTGGTTCTAAATGTTTGAGGAATCACCATACTGTCTTCCACAATGGTTGAAGTAGTTTACACTCCCACTAACAGTGTAAAAGTGTTCCTGTTTCTCCACTTCCTCTCCAGCATCTGTTGTTTCCTGGCTTTTTAATGATAGCCATTCTAACTGGCGTGAGATGGTATCTCATTGTGGTTGATTTGCATTTCTCTAATGACCAGTGATGACGAGCTTTCTTCATATATTTGTTGGCTGCATAAATGTCTTCTTTTGAGAAGTGTCTGTTCATATCCTTTGCCCACTTTTTGATAGGGTTGTTGGTTTCTTGTAAACGTGTTTAAGTTAAGTTCTTTGTAGATTCTGGATATTATCCCTTTGTCAGATGGATAGATTGCAAAAATTTTCTCCCATTCTGTAGGTTGTCTGTTCACTCTGATGACAGTTTCTTTTACTGGCAGAAGCTCATTAGTTTAAATAGATTCCATTTGTCAATTTTGGCTTTTGTTGCCATTGCTTTTGGTATTTTAGTCATGAAGTCTTTGCCCATGCCTATGTCCTGAATGGTATTGCCTAGGTTTTCTTCTAGGGTTTTTATGGTTTTAGGTCTTATATTTAAGCCTTTAATCTATCTTGAGTTAATTTTTGTATAAGGTGTAAGGAAGGGATCCAGTTTCAGCTTTCTGCCAATGGCTAGCCAGTTTTCCCAAAACCATTTATTAAATACAGAATCCTTTCCCCAAAGCAACTTTGAAAGTTGCTTTTTTAAAAAGACTTCAAGAGAGCCAAATCAAGAACGAACTGCCATTCACAATTGCTACAAAGAGAATAAAGTACCTAGGAATACAACTAACAAGGAACGTAAAGGACCTCTTCAAGGAGAACTACAAGCCATTGCTCAACGAAATAAGAGAAAAATTATTATACTTTAAGTTCTGGGATGCATGTGCAGAATGTGCAAGTTTTTGTCAGATTTGTCAAACATCGGATGGTTGTAGATGTGTGGTGTTAATTCTGAGGCCTCTGTTTTGTTACATTGGTCTATATATCTGTTATGGTACCAGTACCAAGTAGCCTGTTTGGTTACTGAAGCCTTGTAATACAGTTTGAAGTCAGGTAGCATTATGCCTGCAGCTTTGTTCTTTTTGCTTAGGATTGCCTTGGCTATATGGGCTCCTCTTTGGTTCCATATGAAATTTAAAGTAATTTTTTCTATTTCTGTGAAGAAAGTTAATGGTAGTTTGATGGGGATAGCATTGAATCCATAAATTACTTTGGGGAGTATGACCATTTTAATGATATTGATTCTTCCTATCAATGAGCATAGAATGTTTTTCCATTGTGTTTGTGTCCTCTTTTATTTCCTTGAGCACTGGTTTGTAGTTCTCCTTGAAGAGGTCCTTCACGTCCCTTGTAAGCTGTATTTCTGGTTATTTTATTCTCTTTGCAGCAATTGTGAATGGGAATTCACTCATGATTTGGCTGTCTGTTGTTGGTATATAGGAATGCTTATGATTTTTGCACATTGATTTTGTATCCTGAGATTTCGGTGAAGTAGCTTATCAGTTTAAGGAGAGTTTAGGCTGAGGTGATGGGGTTTTCTAAACATACATTCATGTCCTCTGCAGAGACAATTTGATTTTCTCTCTTCCTATTTGAATATGCTTTATTTCTTTCTGTTGCCTGATTGCCTTGGTGAGTCCAATCCTATGTTGAATAGGACTGGTGAGAGAGGGTATCCTTGTCTTGCCCTGGTTTTATTTTTTATTTTTTTATTTTTATTTTTTGCATTTTAGGTTTTGGGGTACATGTGACGAACATGCAAGATTGTTGCATAGGTACACACATGGCAGCATGATTTGCTGCCTTCCTGCCCTTCACCTATGTCTGGCATTTCTCCCCCTGCTATCTTTCCCCAACTCCCCACCCCCTGCTGTCACTCCCCTATTTCCCCCGACAGACCCCAGTGTGTGATGCTCCCCTCCCTGTGTCCATGTGTTCTCATTGTTCAACACCTGCCTATGAGTGAGAAGATGTGGTGTTTGATTTTCTGTTCTTGAGTCAGTTTGCTGAGAATGATGGTTTCCAGGTTCATCCATGTCCCTACAAAGGACATGAACTCATTGTTTTTGATGGCTGCATAGTATTCCATCGTGTAGATGTGCCACATTTTCCCTAACAAGTCTATCATCAATGGGCATTTGGGTTGGTTCCAGGTCTTTGCTATTGTAAACAGTGCTGCAACAAACATTCGTGTGCATGTGTCCTTACAGTAGAATGATTTATAATCCTTTGGATATATACCCAGTAATGGGATTCCTGGGTCAAATGGAATTTGAAGATTTGAAAAATTGTAGGAGTTGTGTGCCAGGCAACAGGAACAAAGGTCAAACATATATTTCAAAGAAAGAAAGAAAAAACCCCATATACTTCATAATATCACAATGAAAATTCTAAGATTTAGAGAGATTAAAAAACTTATTTCCCAAATCTCACAGTGATTAGGAAGTAATGATTCTAAAATCAGAACACTACAGAGGCAGTTTGCCATTGCCAAGGCAGCCCACCATTACAGAGAGAGACTGCCATTATAAGAGGTGGGCCGCCATTGCTGAGGCAGTTCTAACTAAACACGTATAAACAGGACTGCAGGGAAGTTCACATGGCAGCTTGGTGGAGCCCACAGCAGCTCAGCAAAGCCTCTGCAGGCAGATAGTGACTAGGCTGTCTCCTCGCTGGGCAGGGTAGCTCTGAAAAAAGGCAGCAGCACAACAGAAATTCATAAATAAAGCCGTAACTCCCCAGGATGGAGCATCCGATCTTTGACAAACCTGGCAAAAACATGCAATGGGGAAAGGAGACCCTGTTTAATAAATGGTGTTGGGAAAACTGGCTAGCCATATGCAGAAAGCAGAAACTGGACCCCTTCCTGACACCTTACACTGAAATTAACTCCAGATGGATTAAAGACTTAAACATAAGACCTAACATCATAAAAACCATAGAAGAACATGTAGGCAAAACCATTCAGGACATA